GGAAAAAAGGAGGGAAAAATTTAGACAGAGTGTGCTGGAGGCTGAACACCAATGATGGGGTGAGGTATGCAAGGAATGTATAAAAAGAGGCCAGAATTGAAGGGACAAAGAATCCTCAGAATGAAAGGCTGTAGGAGTTTACTGTGGAAATGTACAGCCGGACTTTAATACAAGGATAAGAATTTTAAAATTGATTCTTTTGAGGGCCAGAAGCCACTGAAGGTCAGCAAGCAAATAGTGATTGGTGACTGAGCTTGATGCATGTTAATGATCGGGCAACAACGTTTTCGGTGAGTTCAAGTTTGTGTAGTGTGGAAAGGTGGTGGCTGGCAAGGAAAACACTAACTATCAAGACTGGGAGGTTGAAAAAAAAAGCACAGAGTAGAGGTTCAATGCCAGATTAGCCAGAGAGGTGGAGGAGGTGGGGTGTAGAAATTTCTGTATCATGAAGATCGAAGTACATAGTAAAGGGAGAGGATATGGAGTCCTGAACTCAATTCTTGGCTCAACTGGACACAAACTTTGCAAAAAATCTGATCTAGCTTGAAATAGTAGCCAGGGAAGGAAATGCTATTGATAGCTTGGGAATAGATTTGTGGGGCTCCAAGTCAATATTTTTAACTGGACGAAATTTCCACTTATCCAATACAGGATGTTGGTCAAGCAGCATGAAAACAGAGGCAGTTCAGACAGTGCAGAGATAGACCTTGGGGCCATAACTGTAGATGTTCAATACAGATCATTACAATCAAGGAGCATAGTGCTGAGAAATTGGAATTGGGATGCAAGAATATATCCAGTCTGCGAGTGGAAAAGCCGCCACTGCAAGCGCTCTCTCCAGAGATGCGATCTGACTGCTAAGTGTTTCTATTTTGACTTCAGGTTTCTAGCACGTGCATTATTTTGCTCTTACCTCAATACAATCAATGAGTGGGACTTGCACGGAGGATATACTTGACATTCATAATGATGGATTTGGAACAGGCAAAGCACCACACGATTTTTGTTTAAAACACAGCATATGGTCACCGACCACGTGCTGTGATTTATGTCTGTGCAGAATTCACTGATCCTTTGCTTTGATGGTAAGTGCTCAGCATAACTGAAGATTATTAAAATTAGGGCAATTAAATATCTAACTATTTTGTTTGCTTAATCTGAATTAAGCATTCATTTAAATACTCACCATTCAAGGACAGCAGTAGGCCAAAATAATTTCTTTTTGAAAGGATTTTTATTTCATTAAGAATTCTAGGATGGTTTTGAAACAAAGGTACAGCTCGACGTACTGCAATGCAGAATGCTCTAAAGCAAGATTTAAAGTATCTTCCAACATTGCTTTCTCCATTTTCCTAACCCTTAATAGGATTATTCAAAATTTCACAGGAACAATCGCCTCTACTTGGTTAAAAGGGCAAACGTCTGAAAAATAAAACATCTGCCCTCTCCTCAAGAACAGGCCAGGACAATGGATTTTTTTTTTTTACATCTCAACAGAAGTTGTATAAAATACAGCACTGCAGAAAGACTAAAACAAAAACACATACTGTTTCATGCAGTCATCGTAAAAGGGGAGCACATGGCTCGTAAAAGACCCATGACCCCAGAATGCTACTGTCACCATTAAGTCTGTTAAAAAGGTCCAGCAAGGATAGGCAGTGCTTAGCAACATCATTTCATCTGGAAATATGGTGTGGTATTTCAAACAAGGTATGGTTGTCAAGATAAAAATCAGCACCAATTAGATGATCTTTCAATAAGTACAGCTTCGAGATTTTTTTATTTTACAAAATCACTTTGCAGATAATTCAGATCAGAATAGCAAAGTTGTGACGTCGTACTTTAAGGATGTGGAAGTTCAGTGATTATTGTACGTGCGTGTGCGTGCACGTGTGTGTGTCTATATATATATAGTCAATCCAAGTCTGTGAATAGGGCTAATGTTAGAACAAGTCCTAATTATCACAAATAAATAAGTGTTTCTATTTATTTTCAATTGCATGCCCAAACCAGAGCTCAGAGGCTATCATTGATCCATTGAACCTCAGCAATCCAGCCTACAAAACCTGGGGAATGACATTCTACCTCTGCTTGGCTATCAGCTGTGGTCACCTCCAGGTCTTAACCAGTTTGGAGGCTTGTGACTTCAAAGGTTTATTCCAGTACAAAAGAGGAATGATGCATCTTGAGGTAACGTTTTTCAGATGTTAACAGGAGGTCCTGTCTAAGCCCTCTGGTAGATGTAAAAAGAGCCCAAGACATTGTTTAAACAAGCAGGAGTGCTTTTCTCAGTGCCCTAACCAACAGTATTAATCCCTCACCCAACATTAAAAACAAGATTAGTTGGTCACCATCTCGTTGTTATTCCCACTTGGAATAGTGTCTTGAACATTACAATAGGAATCACATTTCAGGAAAAAAAAAATCATTAGTTGTAAAGGCATTGTAGGATATCCTGAGGTGACGAATGCAAGTCTTTGTTTCACTTTTCTCAAATGGGTGTCCTGCTTAAAATTGGTTACTTGGAAAAAAGACTGTTCTTCTTTAGCTACCAGGAATAAATCTCATCTCAGAAAATAAAATATGTATTTGGTCATTCATGCCTCCCAATATCTCCTATGTTTCTATGCCCCATCATCTTTTCCACCATGACTCGCAGACCATGTGAGACTTTTTTTTGCACTGGATCAGCAAGTTCTTTTGTAGGACTGTATTAGCAAATTTCAATTGAACAAGAATGTTAATTTGAAACTATTTTGTCTTCCTCTGTCCCAAAGTGATCCCAAACCTAAGCATCTTTGAAAAGACCAAACATAGCAACAATTATTCTACCTATACTTAACTACAGACACAGACAGGCGATATGTTATCATCAGCAATGGCCAACCACAGCAGGGCTTGCAGTAGTTTTTTTATTTGTTTAGGGAAAACAGGGTTTTGTGTTTACATCATGGAAGGAAACAGACCTTCACTCAGTCAGTTTGCCAAACTTGAGGTCATTGCTCAGAGATAGTAATGCTTCAACATTTTTTTAAAAAAAAGTGGTATAAAAAAGGGTAAAACAACAAATAGCTCCTGATATCAGAAGAAGTTTTAAGCAGTGTCTTTACAGGCAAATTGGAATGGAACCCACTATTCATAATCACTCTGCATTGGTTTCACTATGGGAACAAACACCCAAAACTATGCAAGAAGGTCTAACATGTACTTACAGATAAAAAGGGAGAGAAAATTGTACCCTCACCAACTTGATCACTCCAATCCTGGAAATAATCATGAAAGCCAATGGGATGTAATACTATGAAATGAATGGAACATAAAACCAAGGATGTTATGCTTCAGTTATACAGGGCGATGGTAAGACCACGTGACAAATACTGTGCGCAGTTTTGGTCTCCTTATTTGAAGAAGGATGTAAATGCATTGAAGGCAGATCAGATGAGATTATCTAGATTGACGCTGGAAGAGTGCGTTGGTTTTAGGATAGGTTGAACAGGCTGTGCTTGTTTCCACTAGAATTTAGACCAGGAAGGGGTGATTTGACGGAACTGTTAACACCCTGAATAGCTTCAAGTTGGACGTGAAAAGTGTGATGTAAACTGTGATTTATGCATATTTTTATTATCACTTATCATAGGTATAATAGCTCAAGGAAGAAAGTAGCTGCAGTTTCAATCTATAGATGAAAGCCATGACAATCTTAAACCTACTGAGATGTCAGGGACTCTTGGGCTAGTGCTGAACAAGTGGTGTTATGGAGTCAGAGCATGGAGACAGACCCTTCAGTCTAACCAGTCCATGCCAAACATGATCCCAAAGTAAACTAGTGCCACCTGCCTGCTCCTGGCCCATACCCCTCCAAACCTTTCCTATTCATATATCCATTCAAATGTCTAAGCACTGTAATTGTACCC